ACTCCTGGTGGTGCCATTCCGTCAATTTCTTTAAGTTTCAGCTTTGCAACCATACTACCCCAGGAACCGAAAGACTTTCGTTTCCGGGAAGCTCCTCGACAAGGCAACAATACCCCATCGGATCGCTAGATGGCATAGTTTACGGTCAGAACTAGGGCGGTATCTAATCGCCTTCGAACCTCTGACTTTCGTTCTGCCACGCCGCAAAGCGACCTGTTCCTTCGGAAATCGGACTTGCGTGCATGCAGCAATTCGGTTTGCAATCATGGCTGTTAGTACCTTATAGCATGTATTGAAACATGCTATTGGCCGAAAATCTCCGGGCCCTGGAACCGCTGATTTTCCTTTTGGAATTAGTACCACTTTGCCTCTGCAGAGCCATCGCGGTATCGCTTCCCTGCAAATGTGCAGTGCTTTCATGCACCACTCTTTAAGACGCTCCTTAACCTCTGGTAGGTGTTTCCACCAGAAACCTTAGATTCCATCTGGTCCACTAGCCTACCAGGGTTTAACCTTCGAGAACAACGTTCTCCAGTCATCTTCTGAGAGGTCTACGTCCACATGGGTATTTGCGGTTCGCCTGTGGGTTCGCGACCATGTCGCGAGTTCCACTGTTTCTAGGAATGGTTGAACCTTGCCCACAATAGGAGCCCCGTACTCACGTACTTGACTCACCGGTACGTTTCCCCCTTGATCACGGGGCTCTCTTGCTAGAAAGGATGGACCCCTTCACCTCACTTGGGAGCGCCTCTTGGCATCTTCCATCTTCTTGATGTCTTGCTGTACGACGTTTAACTGATCGCGGAGTCTCACTCGGAGCCTCTGAACATCGGCAGTCCTAGACACCTTATATAGTTTGGAGACTTCAAGGTACAAACGGTTAGGCCTACCTTGCCCTCATTGCAAATCTCCACCTATACGTCTTCCCCTTAGCTCTCCCGCCAATGCGGATATGAAGCGGATAAGAGTGCTTCGGAGCTGAGTCGCTTCATTGAAGCGTTTTCTTTCTGGCCCTAGCCTTTTACTAGCTTCTTCTACTGCCTTGGCGCTGATAACACGCGCTATCGCGTACACCGCGGCATTAGAGATGTTAGCCTTTTAATATTTCTTTCTTGAAGCTCTTCTGCAAGAACTTCGATTCGCCGAGCAAGACCTTTGGAATTTCGCCCTTTGGTCTTCTTATCGGCTGCCGATCTTGAGTTGAGATCGCTATACGGTAATATTTTTGGAACCTGGCTTTCATGTTCGCCTTGATGTCCCCATTACCGCTCTTTCGCGAGGTTCTTGTGCAGAAGACCTGCTAGGTCCGAGCATTCGCTCTTCTCTAGCATCTTCCGTGCCTTCCTGCATTAGGCCATTATGACCATTTTGTTCAAATTGCCTTCCGGCATTCTCACTTGGCTTCGCCATTTCAGCTCTTTGAGCTCTTATCGCATTTTCATTAGTTGTTCGCCCGGTACCCCAAGCGAGTTTAGCATATGCTCCCTTCAGGGCCGCAATGGTCCTTTGGGGGTCATTCTCGTTCCGCAGACTTTCCCAGGCAGGGCCTAGGTTTCGCCATTGGATACGGCCACTTGCGTCTCTGTGTCTATTGACCAGGTCCGCAAGTTTATTCAGCTCATTGGTGAACCAAAGGCTGCTCCTGCGTGATGTTACCGTTGCTCCTTGAGCGTTTCGCTCCTTTGGATTAGTAACACCACGTAGGGGAGATTGCCCTAAAGAGGGCAGTTGGGAGGCCCTTTGTCCAGCCGAAAGCGGAACTACGCTCCTAGAGTGGGGTCCACCTCGTTGGGTGGTATCAGCCACTCTGCTCATTCCACACACTATCCGAGCGCCAGTCGTATTTAGCCGCTGCATAGCAACGTTGCTTGGGTTCACTGCGTAGAGGTATACGACTTTCAAACCCGTCTTGGGGTGTAGGCACGTCGCGCCCTACGTGAGAGATATCTCACGCATGCCCATTTTACCCACAAAGTTTATCACCCTCTAGAGCTTGGCTATGCTTTACCTCCTTTGCCAGCCCCTTTCTTCAGATTTCACCCGCCAGTAAACCTTAGGAGTTTACCTCACGTTACACTAACGTGTCAGCAGTGCTGTATCCAGCTGGCACTCTAGCCATCATGTAAGGATGCATCCTCAGACCGCAGATCCTCATGAATGAACAAGCCATTCATGAGGTGCACCTCCTGTGTGCCTAAGCTGCGTTGAGGAACGGGGTCTCACCCGACATCCTTACACAAATTACCTCCTTCCCAAGAAGGCATATTCTTACCGCATCCTGCGGGTTTCCTCCAGATATAGTTTGCTCCCAGCATGCTCGCAACGAACAAGCCATTGCGAACTAGTCACCATTCCGCCCTAGACTTAGCGTCTTTACGGGACTTATGGCAACTTGAGCTCCCTATATCTTTCAGAAACAACTATTGCATTGAAGAGTTCGTTCATATGTTTTTGGTTGTGACATCGCCACAACCATTTTACTCCTACTCAGGTACCTCCTCGCAAGACGGAGTTCTAGCTGAAACTCTCTTATGACCCTCTAGCAGTCTCCACCACTAGTGGCCCTCCAGAACCGAGACGATTCTTCTTTCTTCTATTTCTAACCACTTCCATGGCTTCGTAACTACCTTACTCCATCACTCCACCTCCAGTGGAGATTCTTCTATCTCTTGTATAGTTAGGTTCAACGAACCTCTATACAATCCTACTCTCTGATCGATCCTGAATCGCCTAAGCCGGAAACTGGGCGATTAAACCCAGGGGATATTCTCAACAGATCGCAGGATACAAACCCCGCTAGTCATAAAGACCATAGTCCATTGAGCAACACCACCACAACCTAGGGCACATACTGAGAGCAGCTGGGGTAATCCATACTGCTACTTCAGCATGCAGCCTAGCTTGACAACCAGTTGGTAAACCAACTGGCCAGGCCAGGGTGTGTTTTGTTTAGTCTTCAGCATGTTACTGCTCCACTGACTTTACCATGGAGTGGAGCATTTCTGCTCCTCCAATCTTACTTTATCAGCCGAACGAACAAGCGGGTTTCCCAGATCAGTTTCTTGGCTTATACCAAGACCTTTCGGTCTTAGCCATGGAGTCGAGCTATTAAGCTCCTCCAATCTTTCAACTTGATAGATGCAGACTCTGCCGCTCCAGAGTCATTTTTATTTTCAATCGCACCCATTAGTGATGGTGCGTTTTAATGCTTTCAGATCCAACAGCCTTCGCAAAAGCGTTGTGTTTATTATTTGCTTAATCAAATCCAGACTCTGTTTTCACTGAGTCTTCTTTGGCTACTGCCTTAGACTAATCATTATTGCTAATGATTTGTCTAGCTTTCAGATCCAACATCTTTCACATAGGCGTTATGCCTATCATTTATTTAGTCTAGTCTAGACTCTGTTTTCATAGAGTCTAGATTTGCTTGTGCCATCAGATCATCATCACTGATGATTTGACTATTTTGTCCCATAAGGACAATGCACAGTTGGTCGTTGTTAGGTCTACTGTAACCGCCACCACCGCCAGCTTTCTTAAGGTGCCTTAAATTGGCAACCTAACAATCCAATCGAATTTGCAAGGTGATTTTATAAGCAACACGATATTCAAGGTCTAAACCACAGAACCAATGTTACATTATAGGAAAAACACACTTATTCGACCAGATTATTTTTCAACAACTTCAATTCCGTCATTATCCATTGTAGCAGGAGGTGCGGGTTTGCGCTTTTTCTGGAGCTGCCGCTGCTCCGCCCTTTGTTCCGCATCTCGTTTTTTGTGGCCGGCTTCCTTCATCCTCTTCAGCTCGGCCTACAGTTCGTTTATCTTGCTCTTCAGCTGCGCGTTTTCTTGAGCTGACTTAGCGGCAGCATCATCGACGAGCTTGATAATTCGCTTTCTATTTACCGAAAATTTCGGTCCTCTGGAACAATGCTATATTCGCTTGTAACCATAATATTGTAAATCTAATTTGACCTACCGCGGTCGGATACAGTTCATGAAGGAGACTATGTCTACCTCTACGTACTCGTCCACACCATCGCTGCTATTCATCTTTGCAGTGGTCATCTGCAAAGAAACAACAGTAAAAATATTAGTTATTATTGATATCCTATTTTTGTGCCACTGGGGCATAATTCCACTAGTGAGACCCAACACTTGAACAAAGCGTTGGAACGTTAGGTTATACCGCCCGCTACTGAGTGGTTAATTAATTTAAAGTTTTAATGCGGGCGGTGGCAACGGCTACATTTGCCTTTCTGTATTAGACACGCCAGAGGCCTTTTACATGGTTACCTCTCGGTAATCCAAGCAGCAGCTTGTTGTACCTGCCGTATTTCAATTAAGTTAGATTCATTGCTTTCAATATCCACTGAAAGCTTTATTACAATTAAAAATTAGCGCTCCCTGACCTCAGTCAATTTCGCTATTATTCCATCTTTCGATTTAGAAGCCAAACAAATTTGGCTTGTTCTTTCGTATTGGATACATCGGCCTAGGGAGGCCTTTTACATGGCTACCTCTCGGTAGTCCAAGCAGCAGCTTATTGTAGCTGCCGTATTTCAATTGAATTGATAACTTTCAATGTCCACTGAAAGTTTGAATTAGCGTCCCTGACCTCAGTCAGTTTCGCTATTATTCCATCTTTCGCTTTTAGAAGCCAAATCAACCTTTGGCTTTATTCTTTTACATGCATGATTAACCATTAGGTTTACATGCGAGCCCATCTCGCCCGCACTCCTGCAGCACGCGCGGCTGTCTCTCTACTTTTCCACTCATCCCAGTGAAGACTTTCCCACCAATCATGAAGTTTCGAGATAGCTCGAGCCGCATCGGTAGCGGTATAGAACTTCTGTGCATCTACTAAAATGGTAGCCATTATCCTGCGAGCGAGACGCCCCTCCAACTCATTAGCAGCCATTACAGCCTTGAAATCGGAGGTTAACAATGTTTTCGCACGTAGATGTTCGGCCAGCTCGTATGGGATCAGTCCCCCAAGATTCCTCCCTACATAAAGGCGTGCAACGCAGCTGTGTCCAAACCTCGTTCGGGGTTCTTCGAGCAGTCTGCCATCTCTTCATTAAACTTCCGTGCACGCATGCTGGGCGTTTTGAATTTACCGGCTCCGAATATGATACAAGAGAATGCGTACTTCAGCTCCGGAACACGATTTGGTTGTACGCGCTTACCCTTTGGCGAACCGTAAGGTTACTAAAGAACGCCTCGCAGCCGATGTTGCTGTTTCGACAACTCTGGACCATAAATCTTCGAAGCATACTAGTCCAGTCTGCTTAGCTCCCATATAACCGCGGCGCCTCCGAGGACCTTAGCGACGTGATCTCGCCCCATGTCTTCGGCGTTGATTGACCAAATTGCACACTTGCTCATGTTCATCTTCATCCCGAGTTGACCGGCGACTCGCTGGATCTCCTTGCGAGCGTGTCCATCCACGCCGAGATGGGTGCTATGGCTGGACAGAATAGCAACGGGCCCAATGTGTCACCCTGCATCAGACCATTTCTGATCTGAAGCCGACGACTCCTGGCAAGCCGCCCGTTCAAATAGCCACAGTACCGCACAGACTGCAGAGACATAAAGGTCGACAATAGGCGCCGGATATCAGATGGCACGTCCCAGCGCTTCACGGCTCCGTGCCGCACAGAACTGAGTGTCTTTGCATGTCAATCCGCATGTGCATTCTTGCTTAGATCTCTCCGCATCTTTAACAACGGTTTGATCTATGATCTGGGCATGCGTGCACCCCCACACTCCTTTCCGCAGGGCAACTTGACTACCGGGAAACCGGTCTCCTACGGCGGCAGAGATGTGCACAGCCATCATGCCAGTTAAAATCTTGTAGCATGTCTTCAAACATGCTGCAGGGCGGAGGTCGGATAGTTCTAGCTGGCTAGGGTTCCCCTTCCTCTTTGGTATGAGAACAACCCTTCCCTGACGAAGCCAAGTCGGGAGTCTCTAGGCTGCAGCATGGCGCGTAAACACCACCTCTTCAGTTGCAACCTCGCGTCAGGTGGGTGTTTCCACCAGAATCCCTGAATACCATCAGGCTCAGTGACTTTCCAAGGTTTCACATTGGAGAACAATGTCCTCGGTCAGCTCACTAGACCTAAGAGGAGCATTTTCGCGACGGGATCCTGGCTTCTCCAACAATTCTCCAAGCTCCACATAGGAAGCCCTTTACGACGTAGTAGCTTACGTCGCCTGTCTTCCTCTAACTTCCTAATCTCGAGCTGCGTCACCTTGAGTTGGTCCCTGAGTTGCCTCAGGATACGCCCCACCTCTCCGCGACGTTTGATCTTGTATACGGCAGCTAATTGGAGGAACTTCTTTCTGGGTCTTTGCATGGCCCCTTCTTCGCTGTCGCATACCCTTACGCCTGAGGACCTCGTTCGTTAGCACCAAAATGGCGCTGATCTTGCCGCGCCTTTGGTCTCGAGTTCCTTAAGACGGCGTTTGGAATCGTCGGTGAACCGCTCTAGCCTCAACTCGTCAGCCGTGGCTGTTATCGCGCGAGCGATTGCATAGACCGCAGCGTTCAAGTTGGTGATGCACCGTTGTCCGTTCAAAGTTGGCAGATCTTCGAGCTTGCGAGCAAGTAAACTGCGTTTCATAATTATAGGTCCACCCTAAATTTTTGCTACCCCAATGTTGCTGAGCATTTTTTGAAAATGCTGCTATCACCATTAGATTTCTCATCACGGAAAACCTTTATGGTGTTTTCTGACAAAGTTCCCTTTTCAAGTAATCCAATTAACTTTTTCAGAACGAATTTTCACCGTCTCATGAATATCGGGCCACTCACAAAAAGTTTGCACTTCTCATGATCCGTGAAGGGAAACAGGGAAGCGGGATGTATGTGAGCATGGTCGACATCGAGTTTACCATACCTCGCGTTACTCGCCTCCCTTCCCAGTAACAGGCTCAAGCCAGAGCACCTACTGAAGTGGAATGGCTGAGGAGCAGAACTGCCACCCATATCGGCCGTCTCATAGTGCATAAGCAACTAAGTGCGAAATCCTGGTCAATGCGGGGAGATGAGTAGCTTTGGTAAATAAAGGCTGCGTTTTCTTCGAGGTTGAAGAGGAATTAGGCGTCTTCTTCGAATTGTACAAGGGTCCAAACAAAGTCCGTGCTGAAATGCAGCCTTCCGTGAGCAAACCACCGGGTGGTGAGTAAGCCAGCAGAGCAATAACATTTTCAGCGGATTGATGAGGCGCGTTCCAAGATTAATTGAGCGCTACAAGATCGCACGTCTCCATTTCTCCGTGGAAAAGGGCTCAACTTAATGAACGAAGGTGTGGCTGTCAAGACCTTCGCGATCTTGAACTCTTCCTCCTTGTTTCATGCTACAGGTGATCTGAGATCGACGTGGAGAAGTTTGTTCTAGGTGGATCTGATAGAAAAAGAGGGTACAGGAGGGTTTCGTGAAAAGCAGATGGTTTTGAAGTGAGGTAATTTTGGCGGAGAATCCCTTATGGTTTAAGGCACCTTTGAACGGCTGAGCGGCTAGAGCTCGCTTCTGTTTTCTTCAATACGGATTCCATAGGGTATCGTATTCTTTAGGAGCGAAATTCATCATTTCTTCGACAACCCCTTCGACCCTTGACGTTTATGCACGACCAGATTGGTCCCCCGGCAACCACCGGGACCTCCTTACCTGTGTAAGCTTTAGTTCTTCCAATGTGCTCCCATCCATTGGTGACATGGACACCTCGTGAAGGTGGTACGCATGTCCAAAAAAGTGTCTTATATAGTAGAAGGCATTACCGTAATCGTGACACGACCTTAGAAATGATTAATTGGTCCTCAGGTCTTTCGGCGGTTAGCTCCCCTCGCCCTTCTCCATCTTATCCTGTTCCCTCTACTGCTCTCCAGCTGCTATTGCAGCATCATGTGGAATGAATGAGACCATGCTCAGTAGGTGTTTATATAGCCGTTGGGGTGATCACATTGATAGCACTGCAAAACATAACATGATTGCTGAAGTCATAGTTACTCGATTTTGTTAACGGTCTGTTTACTTCACGAGTTTCCCTACCACTTCATTTTGCGGACGGACATACTTAAATACATATATACACACATACAGATATACAAACCGACACACAAAGTTAGCGCTTTATAAAATAGAAGGATAACGCGGCCGTCCATGCCGGTCCTTTCACGCCAGATGGAAGTGCAGGAAAAACTGTGGCAGTTATCTGGTGGCCACCATGTTATCTGAATCAGATTCCAATCGAGAATCATAAAGCCTCAATTGTTATAAAGTTTCACAGGCACCAAAAAAAAGCAAAATGGAAGCGGCGAAGAGCTGAAAACGTGGATCTTCGGTGCATAGAAAATTTCCATCTTAATGTAATAGTTAATTAATAATAGTTAATTTGGTTACCAGCATTAAATAGTCAATTAATTTAATAATAGTTATTTGGATAAACCCAAAAAAAAGCAAAATGGAACGGCGAAGAGCTGAAAACGTGGATCTTCGGTGCATAGAAAATTTCCATCTTAATGTAATAGTTAATTTAATTAGTTAATTTGGTTACCAGCTATTAAATAGTCAATTAATTTAATAATAGTTAATTTGATAACAAGCATTCCAAACGTATTATTGTGTTCCTTATGATTAATGGAGGACTATCCCCTTACTGAAAATTTGTGTACGTTTTTTTGTTATAATTAAAATCTCTCGACAAATGATGTGTACTCATATTTGCGAAACGGTGAAAATACGTTCTAAAGAAGATATTTTAATAATTCTGAGTCGAGATTTCTCCAGAAATCAAGTATCAAGGTTTTTCGTTATGGGGAAACTATTACTAATAGCGGCATTTCCCAAAAATGCACAGCAACTTCGGAGTAGCAAAAATTTAGGGTGGGCCTATAATTATGAAACGCAGTGTATGTCGTTGCCAATCAGGAGATCCTTCGGGACTTGTACCTCTGACCTCCTTACGGGGCGTCTATCATCGGAACTCTGGGTATACTATAGTAGCGATGAACCTTTCAAGTAAGCGTTCGGTAAGGTCAACCTGCACAGACTCAATAGTTTCGATCTCCGTTTCTACCGGTAGGCCAACATCCGGGGAAGAGGATTCATGGTGAGTCTCACGTTCCTGTGAATCCTCTGTTAGATCAGTTCCGAGCGGTTCACTAGCCCCCGCTTTTCGCTTCCCTTCGCAGCTTCGCGTACAGCGCCTTCAGGGCAAAAATCGTGCGCGCTGCTTCACCAGGGTTTCGTGAACTATCCCATGCTCGCGCAAGGGACGGCCAGTCCACCCTTCCTCCCCGTCTGTGGTCCTAAATTAGACGCAGGAGTTTCTTCAGTTCGCGAGCGGACCAGAGATATCTCTTCCCCCTGGCCTGTAGGGCGTCGTGCCCATTGCAGGGTCAACAGGGTTAGTGTGCAGCCAGTGCCTTGGCAAACTGACCGACTAACATCATAAATGCTCAATACGGCCACTTCTCTCGCAAGCCGTAAATCTCGCTTGAGCACCCGCCTCACACTTATCGAAGAACTGATAACTCGGGGTATGAGTTACTAGGGGACGACGTAGACGTCCGGAGCTAGCCCTCACCCATTCACAGCTCTCTTCGAACTCGATTTTTTCGGGGATTAATGATATCAGACATCGCACAAACTTTGTCTCTCACAGCAGATATGAAACCCTACTGAGGAAGTTGCCTGCAGGCGAATATTTTTCATAACTTTTCTTGTAAGCCTTTCACAATCAATCTGCCCAAGTGGTCACTCTTTCACTAACTAAGGTTCACCTTGAAGACACTGGCTCTCCTCGACAACATATTTGTGTACGTGACATTAAAATATAGACACTTCTGCAGTAGACTCTTCTGTTCTAAGGTGCGATATTCACTTGATCGTGGTTAATAGTTGAAGAAAACTCGAAAGTCATTTCCCTTACCTACTGTCGCAAACCAAACGTCCTCATTCTGATATTATAATGCAATGAGCAGAGCCTACAGCTTTACTCGCATCTGTGTAACACTTCGTGACTCATTGCGACAATGACTCCTGCAAATACAATCGCTCCCGCCGGTCAAGTACGATCCCCACGTTGAACTTGGTCTAATGGACAGTCCACACTGCACTACGCACCGCAACAGCACGTATTCTGCAACATTGTTAGCAGGTTTAGCGTTTGGAGAGTGAAAACAGTGACTTCCGAGCCAGCGTGACTTATCACTATGAAATACTATACTGTAAATATTATACATCAACTCATTGGGCAATAACTAGATGAATAAATTTTTTATGACAATGAAGTAGTCATATTCATCACCAATCAAGAGTACCTGAACACCAGCATTGTAGAAGAAAACGCTCAGAAACCACACTGACAAGTAGGATCCGTGAACACGTAGATAAAAATGGTGACACATCCAAGCAACGTGAAATGAGTGACAATCATGTGTGAAAAGACGGGAAGGCAAAAATTGACTCTCAATTTGTTTGCATAGTTTCCATTTCCTTCGTTTGCTCCACCATATTCTCTTTTTCTTCCTTCAGCTCCGGATATTCCTTTACTATGCGTGGCCCATAGAGCAGCACATAGGCACAATGCCAATCACCTCCACCCGACAATCTCAGCACCTGGAAATATCCTTATCGCTGGAGGTAATCGTAAATAGAGGCAATGTTCCTGCATAAGATCAAATACACTATCAGCACACCTCAATAGACGAATGCACGGTCGCGATCAATGTAATGTAATATATTCTACATAGGCAGACTTGATAAATAGCAACCCAGTCGTCCCACCAGAATTACCCTGATTTCCGGTAGATAAGCCCGCCACGTAAAAACACCAGCGCTGGTGCAGTGTACTTGCGTACATCTACAGACAACCGTAACTTGCTCATAGAGGTAATTCGATATGCTGAACGAAAACAACATTCATTTCTGGCGGTGGCACCATATAGCACCAGCTGGCGTCACCTTCTCACGACCCCTGTTTGCACCAGAATCGGTGTAAATTTCTATATAGGGGTTATTTGGTACCCAGATTGAAAACGACATTCGTTTTCGGCATTAATTTTGTTGAACGCATATTTATCGGCTGGAGAGCGCAAACGAGCAGAAATCAGAAAATAGGCGCCAATAGCGCCAGTGTCGAGGGAGTATGTCATGGAGGAAATGGATGGATTGTCCTGGATTACTAGCTGCGCCCAAGGGTGGATCTGCTATATAGGACCTCACCAAAAGTCTTACAACTCATGCTCCGCTCTCTCAAAATGGATTTTGCAACAAGAACTATAATTTTTTTCTTCTTGTCCTCCAATCGCGAAAAAAAGAACGGAGGAATCGTTCCCATTCGATTCCCCGCGGTCACTAAGTTTTGCATTTGGATAAGCGCTTGAACAGATAAAGGATAAAGGATAAAGCTTTTGCCGTTGATCAATCCCGTCTTGGGATCCGGCACGCATTCTACTTCCAATTGTACATTCGTGGTAGCATTTGAATGCGATGTGGCCTCACAATGACTTGCGGGGGCCAGATTATGTACAAGTCGATGTTTTAATCTTCCTAGACTAGTCTGGCACCAACTAAACGACCCCGAAGAGATGGAAAGCTTGGTTAGCCCAGACGGAGCACGATCCAGGAATCGATCCCTGGACCGCGCGCGTGTATGCTTGTCCAAATAAGCTTCTAATGGAGCCCTTGAGCGTTATTGCAAAATAATACCACCGGCGATAAATGCCTTTTTTACTACGAGTACTGCAAATAACCCTTACGAATGGGTTTTTTTGACCAAAAACTTGCTAAAAAAAAGTGTAGCGCTTGAAATTTTTAGCATTAGAAGGGTCGATTCGAACAAATGAACAATAGTTTCGTGCTTTGCGCGTATGCCCCTGTACATCGCAAAATCCCGTTCCTGAAAAACGAGGCACAAGCACCCATAGCCGCAGCAGCACCTAGGACATCGTTCCGTGTCACCTACTCACCTTGGCTCCGACCATGTGCCGGTGAATTGTACAAAATGCGATATCCAAGGATTGTTCCTCTTGCATTGATTGTTACGCATGGAAAATCCATGGAGCGGAGCGTTTACTACTCATACATGACGCATCTATAGGGGAAGAAGTACACCGAGTGTCCTGCTCAATTCTTTAAGGACACGATGAGATAAAGGAAACATCAATTATAATATATACACCCTAATAAACGAGGATGTGGCACCAGCGAATTAGCAGCCGGTGAAGAGCGACTAGGAAGAGGAAGACAGAAAATATCAAAACAGCAAACCATACTTGATCGGATGTCACTGGCGATACATGATCATCATCGCACATGGCCCACTTGTCCTCGCCTAGACGCACCCAAGCGACGTAATGGCCAGAATTCGATGATCGGCCTTTGTGAGTTATCACCGCCTGAAATCCTTATATTTACAAGCCGCTATCTTGGTGTACCGGTTTGTATGTCTGCATGTATGTATGTCTGTCTGTTCGTCCACAAAATGAAATGAGTGATGAGGACCGCTTGGCTTGTAGGGCTCATGCTATCAATGTTTCGCAATAGCTTGATGGTGATAACACCACAACGGCTATATTAACACCTACATAGAACGCTTTCGGTCACTTCACAGAGTTCTACGGTGGCATCCGCAGCAGGGTGCACGCTATGTTGCGACAAGTACCAACAGAGAGGTCGTATTTGGTTGAGCGTATAGGGGGGGGGAGGGCGTACTCTCTCGGAGGCCGGTAGTGCGATTCTTGGTGGACATGGATTCCAGCCACGAAACCACATATGAAACTAAAGTGCAGCTGGAGTATTGCCTGAGACAACATGGATAATAGCCAGCACGTTACGTTTACGCAAGATAAATGATGCCAGAGCATCTATAAGGTTGGAACGACTGAAATGTCTCGATCATTAATTATTTTCATTATAGAACCAAAAATGAGGCACATCAACCCGAAACATTTTCATCACCTGATTCATCACCTTTTGTTACACAGAGCATGGACGGCTACCGCGTAGAACTCTTTCTGGTTCCACTCGAAGGAGTTGGGCACTAAAATTTTGACGTCGTCGCGGTTATCGAATTGGTTTGCTGCTACGTAGTGTTGCGTTGACCAGGGTCAGTGATAGTGGGACAGCGCCAGACCTGAGCTATATAGCGCAAGAGGCAGAGCGTCCCTTCCAAATCCTCGATTTCTTGTTGCAAGACTTTCGTGACACGTGGTCTTGCATTATCATGCCATAATTTTTCATTGGCCGAATTCACCCTTTGACGACGAGGAGCTCGACCCACGTTGTGGAGCTGTTATACGCAGAGTTCAGCCCACAATCAGCCTTCCGTGTTACATCGTTGCTATACTATATCACCATATAAAAACATGACTTTGATTCCGTGGATGTCTGGTTTCGAAGTCACCCTCAGCTGTCCATCAGCCGCCAATCACGGTCGTTATGGGAAACATCTCTTTGTTAAAAGCGGTCAACACGGAGTCAAGAGCCTTTTCCTCTTGAAGATATGGAGCGAAGTTCCAGTATTGGCAATCAGTACTGCTTGCTCGCGTCGCTCAGAATAGGCCGAACCTATTTTCTATATTAAAAGGCTTACCAGACGCACGTAACGCACGACTTGTGCGGTTTGCCGAGGAATCAAATCGTTGACTTCCTTTATTTCTTCGTCATCTAAAGCTAGAGGTCAAAAGCCACGATCTTCGTGGCCAAGCCCTTTACCTCAATCTTGGGAGCTGGAACTATAGCTGGAAGTGCATCAGAGACTGCGATACTGCTCAATGTTTTGCACACAATGAGCGGGATTCTTCGGACGTTTTTCGTTGCTTGCATATATACTCTCGACGATGAATTCTGATCAGTCATCTTCAAGCAAGAGTTTTGCCTCGAAGAACATCAGCTCAGTGGCGCCTAAGAGTTCGCAATATGCGTGCTGAATCGCTCTCTCGAATGAATGGTCTCCCATCCTAAGAGATGGCGTTTGAAGCTGAGAAACAAAGGCACAGACGGAAGCGACATTGCAATCGTGCCAACCTAATATAAACCCCTTCCTTTTGAATGAGCTTCCATATGAATCAGCGAATCAGAAGTGCGGCCGAGGTGTGGCGCACTCCAAGGCAGAGGATATCAATGCAAGCAAATGCTCGAAACTTCCTAACACATCCTATAGTCAACTTGAAATTGCTTTACCTGGAGGTTACGGCCAGTGAAACCTGAAAAATCCACGTTTTCAAGAAAATAGCTTAGAGAAAGCCCCATCAAAAAAGTCGCAACGGATGTAATTTTCGATCTGCTGACTTTTCAGGAACGTTCAGGCAAGTTTTAGAAAGCATCAATCCTTCAGTTTGCCATAACGGATTCAGCTTCCCAAATCAATGAATCGAAGGGAGTTATGATCACTCAAAGGTTGAAAAGCCGCGATTCCAGAAAAAGTTCCGCGAATCCCCATCCCCCAAAAAAATTCGCAACGGGACCAATTTTTGAACTGCTGACTTTTCAGGAACGCCCGGGTACCTTTATGGAACTTGAATCCTGAAGTTTGTCACCCTACTTCAGATTTCGAAATCGACAACTTTGAACAAAGTTATATCGTTCAAAGGTCGAAAAGTCGCATTTGCATAGAAAAAAGTTCCAACGTGCTAAGTTTGTATTGAATTAGCTTTCGAAGATATTTAGCGATGATTAGAGAGAGGATAACTTGCATTTTTCAAATCAATAACTTCGGCACAAAATTTTGAATATGAAGGAAGGTATAGCTCTAGAACGAGAAAGGGGAAAAGTGCAAAGCAATGTTATTTCTTACTTAATAACTTATTCACTAAATTGTTTGAGAACATATGATTTTTCTTCGAAAGGCTGAGCCTCAGTGATGAGAAATTACCCTATCCGGTGTATAAGCCCCTGCTAGTATCATGCAAAAACACCTCCACTGGTGCAGTGTACTTGAGTACATCTAGAGTCAACCGTAACATGCCGGATATGCTGATCACGAAAACGACATTCGTTTTTAGCGGTGGCGGCATCTGGCGCCAGTTGGCGCCACCTTGTCACGACCTTTGTTTTCGTCAAAATCGGTGTAAACCAGTATGGGGGTTACTTGGGACCCTGATTACGAATATGACATTCGTTTTTGGCGTTAACGTTGTTTAGTGCACATGTCTCGGTTGGAGAGAGCAGACGAGCAGAAAGTAGGCGTCAAACAGCGCCAGTGCCTATAATGAATGTCATCTTCGTAATCAGGGTCCCAAATAACCCTTATACTGAAGTTTACACCAATTTTGGATTCGTTAATCAGAGGCTCAAATAACCCTTTACTGAGTTTAACCGATTTGACGAAAACAAGGGTCGTGACAAGGTGGCGCCAACTGGCGCCAGATGGGCCAGCGCTGAAAATGAAAGTCATTTTCGTGATCAGGGCATCGACTTACGGGTGGTTTTATATGAAATCGGCGCGGGCTTATACACCGGAAATTAGGGTACCCTCTATTTTCCTAAGTACCTGAAATTTAACGAAGAAAAGTTCGTCTACATTTCATATTCCCGTTTGTCACCGTTCCCGATCAGCAAACCGTTAGTGCGTGATTCAGCACATTTAAAACGCGATCAATACGCGTTTCCATCCCTTTGCTTTTATATTATTGCAACTATTACCTATCGGTTTTTTTGAGTCTCATCCGGTAGAGGGAAGGGAAAGAATAAAACAACTATCAAAGCAGGAAAGGGTTTAAAGCGTTTTTTATGAATAGTTAGATTTTCCAAGCACCTACTCTTAGTTCATAAAATCCGGAGTTATTACTGCCTTCGTCATCGGGAAATGAAAACGGCAACGGCTTTCCGTCGTCCTCGACATCCTGAAACGAATGGAAACCGATTGAAGAGATCCCATTAGAAAAACAGAGGAGCAGTCCTAAAGTATTACTAAATCTAAATTGAGCATTCATGTAGAGGTATTATTATTTACAAACTATACTAATCGAAGTCACACCTGTCTACCAAACTCACAATGCGAACACTCAAATTCGCACATAATGCACACCCTCCGGATTTTCTGCTTAGCTCACAAGATAGTTTGAGCTTTGTACACTAGTATTGTGCGTTCCGGAGTTTCGTTAAGACTACAGGTGCAGCCCAAAGTCAATTAACGAGGTTTTTTGAGGTTTTCTCTCCTGAAAATCATTGGATTGTCTCCTAGATTGCACCAGTCTATTTATTAGATGTTTTCTACCCCGCAAAATAAATTTAAACTTCCTGCTCAAACCGGAGCCAAAAAAAACATAGATTTTTTGAATTTATTGAAGGTAGGCGAAAAATCACGTAGTCATTCTATTCAAATAAAATAACGCATAACCCAACAGAGCCATCAATTACGGGGTGAGCCAAAATTACTAGGACAGCGTGTGCGCGTTGTCATACACACTTTTTTTTGACCCGCTCCTTTTCCATCGCCTTTTCTATGCACTAGGTGATAAGGTAAATATGTTCTTCCTGTTGATACCAAACATCGCGCAGCCCTCAAAACAACTACATCACGGTACTTCAGTCCTAAAATTAAACTCATCAGGGGTATTGACACGCTACATTTAGCGACAGTTTAATGTAAGAGGGAGGCTATTATGGGCAACAGTTTAGTGTTTTGAGAAGTTTAAAATCCCACAGAACCTCAAAGGCTACAGTTGCCACCAGGACAATCAGGTGCAGAAACTAGCCTTCCCTTGTCGACTTTAGTACTCCCAAAATTGATGCAAACACCCAGTTAGACATTCTAAAGACTCCACCTCTGTGCTGGATAGAAAGCCACTCTAGTTCTCTACTTGAGGGTTTCACAGGACAGAGCTCTCGATAATGAAGCCAAAATTCCACAGAAAAGCGGTTCTTCGAATAGTCGCTTTTGAAGAATTGTTACATTGGGACCGTCTGCCTAATATTTCTAGAATCCTGTGTGGTACACCTTGAAGGCAAGCACGAATGAAAACTCCAAAAATTTTCATCATTGATTGATGAAGCAGAAGGTTGAAACATTTTGACAGGCCTCAGCTGTGTGCCACACCACTCGCCATCCCTCCTCATCTCAAGGCTCGTGTAAGCGCAGTAGGTGGTTAATCTTAACCTAAATCTGAATTTACCTTGTGACATGAGTGACAAACACTTTACTACAGTTGTTTGTTCCATCATCTACTACACGCTTGTGACGATATGTCTTTGTCCTCACAATTTTGGCCCACCCTTAACACAACGACTAACATTAGCAAGTCTGGTACATTGCCAGAAACCCTCTCAATTCGTTGATAGATTATCCAGGTCCAAATATGAGGTCAATTGATGAACTCACTTCCTAGTGAGGCATCTTCTTCCTTATCCTTGGAACTGGACCAAATGCTCGCTCACAACGAAACTCTTTCTTTAAATTCGCCTTTGGAGCCCCCTTACAGATCTGTGATGTTTGATTCAAGCCACTGAAATGGTTTCTTTGTTGATAGCACCGCATGCAGAATTATTACTCTTGCATTTGAGCGATATTTTGTGTTGTTACTCTGCCGATGATACACGAAGCCGACTGCCGAGTGTGACTGTCACGCATGTACATACACAACACCTTCTATAGAATCTAACAGCTTACGTATGATTTCATCTCTACCTCATTCCTGTGATGTTGCCCCACTTTTTTCCAGGGTAACCTTACCAAGCCTTCACCGCATAGTTGGCAGCAGACGCTTTGGACCATACGTTCCCCTTCGGGAAGCCAAATGTGAATAGTTCCCTCACTGTCAACATCACAAACATATACCGGTCCCATTCGATGATGCTGAAACACCGTAAGAACCTCTATACCGGGCTTGACTAAACACGTTCGACTTCCAATCTCTTCACAGCGGGCACTCTTCATAGGCTTCAAGAAGTAACGAGTAAATAGTAATGAATATATCAGTAAGTATAAAGATCACATCTCGAAGCATCGACATAAAATGACGACATGGGCGACAGTATGGGGCGTTTTTGATGGAATAACCAGTTCTGCTTCCTGAACGAGACATCGTAAAATCACCAAAAGTTTTTGCAAAGGCGTCTACAAAAACAGCTACCATTCGAGCAAAAAATTTGCCCTATTTGAAGGAAAACGCAAGAAGATGCCTCATTAGGGTGTGAGTTCATTGACTGACCTCATAGTTGGGCCTAGAAAATGTATCAGCGACACAAGGGTTTTTGGCAGCGTGCTAGACTTGATAATATTAGTGGCTGTGTAGCCGATTGTCCTGATGGGTTACCCGATAGTTTATTTGAATAAACTGATTACGTCATTTTTCGCCTGCCTTCAATTGATTCAAAAAATCTATAACTTCTTTCAGTCTTTCAGCCTTGGTTAGAGGAAAGTGGATATTTTTGCATGGGTTAGGAAATATTCGTCAGATAAATGGCGCAAATTTGGAGAGATTCACTGACGTTTTTGGATAGAAAATCTCAAAAAATCATTTAATAATTGATTTTTATCCATTGATGGTCCATAATGAATATGATACCTATTACTCACGCCGGCGCTATTTGGAGCAAAATTTGGAAGTTAAAACCTAAAATGCAAGAATTTGTCACACGAGGATAACCTTGCACCACGTCTTCACGAGTTTTTGGCCTTCGCGGGGCTGCTCAGCGAAAACGGACCCCGGTTTTATGGTCTACTCATGAGCTCCCATAACATGCAGGAAACCATCTTATAAAAGCGCTCCACACCCTGAACGACTTTGTGAGATGTCAGAATCGTTCACCCAAAAAATCCCGTGAAAAGTGTGAATTAAAAAATCTGTCTCATCAGGTCTTCGAGTGCTTTCTCAATGTTGCCGCATTCAGTACAGTAAAGCTGCCTTTTTAATCAAGCAAGGTTATTAACCAAATGATAAGAAACTTCCGTGGCGAATCGTATTTTATTTGCAAGTGAGCAGTGCATGAATGTCCAAAATACAGCGTCCGGCCACAGTTCTACTTCCTTGATGAACGGGTTACACTTTTTGACTTGCAGATCATGTCCAACTGCTGGGAGGAGTCATGTATCACACTAATGTTGGGGTCTCTCAAACCAAATGCAAATAACGTGATGCACATGGCGCACCAGACGGCAACGCGGAGTAGGAGCGCTTTGCTAGAACTGCTTGACATTACTCTCGCGCTTCCAACATGTGATCATGACCAGCAAACAAGGCTACAATAGAGCAGAATTGTTTGTAAGTTAGCAATTATTAATCAAATGAAAAGAAAAAATAGAGAGCACTTTGAACCCTGATGCTTGTCGTACTGACTTCAAGTTTCCAAATTAATGATTTTGGAGGAAGTTGTGATTATTTCAAGATTGAAAACTCGCATGCACAAGGAAAAAAGTATCAACGTCTTACGCTTGAAAAATAGGTGCAAATTTCAATGAAATTTGATTTGACTGACGATGAGTCAGGAACACTGGGAAAACGAGAAATATTCAGGCGCCCGAGTTATTCGCTCGCCCATACGTGAATTAATGTTTCCATACACACACACGCACAGAGGGGGGATCGTAAAAATTTCTAAGAATCACCAAAGATAGGGTTGACCCTGGGTGGGGGAGGTGGGGAGACGGCGGGTTAAAATATGACTAATGAAAACGGCAAGTCCTCTATTTACGCCTTTTTCATGCATCTTTTCAAGACATCAACCCTAACATTGTTACAATATTCGTAAGAGAAAGACCTCTTTAGTCTTTTACTTAAGACAAGACTTCCCAACTTTCCACGACGAACCCCCCCACCGGAACTCCTCTTGCAAGATGACAGTCGTTGGAAACAGAAATCTACATACAATAATCTCAAACGATTATCACCCGGAAAAACTTTGGTACTGTGGACGGTGGTCCACTGTCCATTTCACGAAGCTGGAAGCCAAACGGTATTCAGGCATAAGTATAACCAGGTTTCAGTATGTGAGTCATCCGATATGTCACATATACATAATTCTCAATGCAAGAAAAACCGAAAAGGGCATTGAAGCAATTACCTTTGCAGTCCGCTCCATCGCATTTGCGGCTTATGACGCATCGTTTCGATTATTGCCATCTTCTCTTCTGAACATCGATTTAAGAAATCACCGCAAGGCATTTGTAAAATTTCATTAAAATCACTCTTCCAGCAGCCTCGTGAAGGGGGTAATCGTTCTTGTAAGGGCTGGCCTACATATATCTAGAGGGTCAAGATTCAAAGGAAACTTTATCAACACTTCCTCAGAATCTTTGCATTGCAACCTAAACGTAAACAATAAAGAAAATCCGAAAATATATAATTAGGAAGCGATCGTCTGCGTTGTCTGTCTGACGGCGTGAAATTGATCCCTACCTCTTTGATCCCAGACGCGCCAATAACTTCATAACAGACATGGTATTACGCGGTTCGCGATGACAGTGAGAGACAGCGGGTAACAAGTTCCAACGTAGGGGGTGCGGGTCGCAATTTGAGGGGGAAAAGGGGGGCGTGTATTTCGACAAGGTAGCGTTAATGTTACATTAGGAGAAGTGATGATGCAGTTTGGTTGGCGCGCGAAATTTGCCGAATCTCAACAGCGTTGAGGTATAATGCCTCGTATAAAAAAATGTACAGTGGATATGGTGAGACGACGGAAATGTGGAGGATGTTCGGGATTGTCGGGTAGGTAGTACAGGAGTGGCCGAAGAAAAAGAAGAACTTCACCCACATTTCAGACAGACATTCAATCACACTTTGGTGAAATCAATCGACTGCACCACTTAGTGATGAAAGAGCCGCTCTATTCTATCAAAAAATGCTAAACATGACAGCCTTTACACACGACGACGTCAGAAAAGATTTCCCATGGAAAAAAGCACGTCACGGTCAGGGGTCAGCGGGTGTGGGAGGAAAATTTGGAAATACAGACCCCCCCCCTCCGCCGAAGGCCGAAGTCCATGAAAACACGTTCCTCAAAAAGCGAACTATGAAAGAGGTTGCTTAATTCTCCTGCAAAACTGGCACAAAAAAGGCCTACTACCCACGCTCACAAGGACAAATTTGTTTAAGTATACAAATGGGAAAAGTCAAAGTATGATCATTTATGAGAGTAACTACGAACGAGGCAGACGAGAAAAGGAGCAAAAAACGCAAAAATCATAAAGGGCATTAACCCTCTTCTTCATTAATTTCCGCAAAGACTTACCAGATTCTGAGCTACTACAATTCTCAATTTACACGTACCCCTTTCGTTCGGAGGCAGCCTCCGTCACCGCTTCGCCACTGACATTGTGTTGACTGGACTTTTGGCGGTTGACCGTGGCAGCAGATTATTTACTTATTGAATTTCGAACAAAATTCAAATGATTTATACTTTCTTCAGATATGAAGATTTTCAAGCTGAAAGCAAGATTTGGGAGTTTTTGTGAAGACTCCTTCTGACCAACTTGAAATTAAAAAAAATTATGAGAAAGTAGCAAACTTAGATATTAACGAAGAAAATGAGAAGAGCGCGAGTTTTTAAACTTTCGAAAGCAGTAAACTTGCTTCATTTTCGTCAAATCATCGAAAAGTTAATATGGCGTAGCAAAACTAGAAGATTATCTCTACCGAACCTTGCTTAAGCCAGCTTATGTCCAATATTTAAAACAAGGCCACGGTGAGGATATGTTGCAAACTAAACGAGGAAATTTCGTAATGGGGCGCAGATTCTTTTACACTTTTACAGCCAAACTCCGTTCAAGCTGATCAATCGAAAGTAAATAACGCAACCCGTCATGAACTAGAGGATTTGGCCTCTATCGAATGCTTTTCTAGAACAAGCTCCAAAAGATTCAGTATTATAAGAATGGGCCGCGTGAGGATATTTTGCCGAGAACGCCGAAAGTCACTTTTTCGCTGCACTGGACATATTCCAGCGGACATAGTCCTATCTAGAGGGCGATTATGTAACTAAATAAGAGCCAGATTCATCACTTTTTCTCTTTTCAAGAAAAGTAAAAATTGTTAAGCGTTCTCAACTTTAATAGCGTCACATGTTTAGTGAATCTTAACCTGCAGAGGGGAATTAATGCAATGTGTACATGGAGTGTACCTACCCCCCGTATATCGCGCAACGGCACATTCGAATTCTCGTATTTTTTCCTGAATCGGAGATCGTTCGTTCGTAGTTGACGCCATAGTTGTAAGCGCGCAGCAAATGGACCCATTGGGGAGTGCCGCATGGTTTCTTACAATCCTTCAGAATTCAGAGACCACTATGGAAAGATAAAATAATCCCTTGTGAAGCAAGTGCAATTTCAGATTCTTGACTATGGTGGCTGATAAAACCTGAAGGTAACTAAGAAACTACTGCGGTACGCCTAAGAATCACGGAAATTTTGTGTGGCGTGAAATATCTTTCATTTAATCCTACTGGCCTGTCATCGACTACGTCCTTAGACTGTTTGTCCTCCGCCAGGTGAATGAGATCCCACTGCATCAACCGACCGATCTCTTCCCCAGGGGTCAATACGCCCCACCCCACTCTTGCTGACGTGTCGAGTGATTCTTCAACGCACGCTGACCCTGCTCCCGGTCTATCCAATGGGAGACGTCTAGGTACCAGTAGAACATTACGACCGTCCATCGAACCTGCTGGTCAAAACGGTCTTGTATTCCAGTAGCGTCTTGGAAGCTATCACACGTTAACTATTGAGAAATCATATATGCAGTTCAGGCCGAGACGACTACGCAAGCCTCGATAACAGCTCGACGGCTGACGGTAGCAGATAAGTCGCATTCTTGAAGACCGTTTTGCAGTGAAGGAGGGGCTGCTTCTGCTTATGGGAAGGGGACAACTAAGGGATATTCTGCCGTAAAGCTTTCATCAACGACGGCATACTGTGTGAGGAAAAGTTCGTTGATGAGCACCATAAGCAAAGTGTCTCTTTTTTGGCCACCCCAACGATCGAGGATCGTTGACGCTCCCGTTTTCGCTAATCGTAAGCAATCGAAGATAAGGTAGGCCAGACACATCATGCAATTCTGCAATGACCGCTGGACCAGAGCGCTTACCGACTGGATTCCTCGAGACGTCAAACGAACACCTGGACGACCGCCGGCCCAATAATCAGACTTCTTCACGAAAGCTCTCATCGGAAGGAACTTCCACTTCATGTTTCTTCGCTGCATTTTGTTTCACCCGATAACATTTTTGAAATTATTAACCATTCAAGTTCATTAGGTTGACGAAAGCAAAACCGCTGTAAGACTTCCGTAAATGCAAAATCCTAGCAAATGATGCGGGATTTTCGAATGGGTGTCCACGCTAGAATTTAGAATTGAGAAAATAATACAACTTTATCCACCCGAGTACGTGAACCAAAATTTCTTCAAAAGTTAATGTCTCAAGCGACGCAGTTTCACGTGTTTTTCAACACGATCGAAAAACGGGTCACTATCGTCAGTAGGTTCCCCAAATCAAGCGATGTGAAGACTCTATTGCTTTTGTTTTATTTTTTATGTTTTGAAGCCTGTGATCATACTCCTGATCCTTTTCTTCTCCATACGTGTTTGATACGAAATGAAAAACCGATCTGAGAAAGAAAAACCTTATGAGAGACAAGTCACAAACTAGTAAGGAGAAATGAAAGGGTGACACCGCTTCGCTAGACGAGGAAACTTTCTAAGAAAAATAGCTGTCGATGACAACTTTACACAAAGAGGTATTTCTTATTTTTCAGACATGGACTATCATGAGGGTTGTGGAAGAAACGTGAAAACAGTGAGACATTACCTTTTGGAGAAGTTTTGATTTCCGTATCCGGCTGGATAAAGTTGTACTTCCGCATGACACGGCGCTTATCTCGGTCCTGTAGTAATCAGGGTTCCTCGCAAGGCACATCCTACAGAGTACTTGAGAAATTTGATCGGTATGAAGTGACTCCGACCAAATTGCAGCGTGAACAAACACTCAGCCAATTCCTGTGTCCCCTGTGCTAGGATTTTCCCTATGCGGAAGTGTGAGGGCGGTTTTGCTCTTCCCGTGACCTAAGGCACTTAATAAATAAAATAGAATAAAAAAAATAGAATAATAATCTCAAAATATGATTTGGTAAAAGCAAAATGAAGCGGAGAAACATGGGTGGAAGTATGATTTTGGGTCATAGGCAAGCAGGTTTAAAAAAATAGAGATTAAAAAAACTCTTGCCCTTTTTCAAATTAAAATTCTGTGTTGATATTCAGAACTGCATTCATATGTATCACAGTTCTTCCCCAAACCTTTTTCGAAAATATCCCAGATGCAAGTTTTTGGGAATTTTGTAGGTGGAAGTATATTACTATACATTGTATATTAGGTCGGTCCATAAGTCTTGCAACAAACTACATTTAAAGATGGAGAATTTTCGTGAAAACTCCGGTGTTTGTTGACGTTTCGCTCGCTGTCTCACTACTTGTTACAGCTATTACACCGATTTTGCGGAAATCTCTTCGTGCCCCGAATTTTCGCGAGTACTGCTTGGGATGTCCCAGAAGCCAGGTTACAGGGCACGTTCGCTCAATTCACGGTGCACTGGCGCTTTCCTCTACTTAGCGTTGACTTTTTTTATTAGAAGAAGATGTACACTCCAACCATCCCTGACTGGCAATCACGATGCTCTACCTGACGCTGTTGAAAAAGGGTGTGGATAAGGGTAAATATCGGTCGAGGAAATCCTCGACAGGGGGTCGTACTCGTGGGAGTCAGTAACGTCGGTGGCATCGTGGTGCAGATAGAGGGTACAGAATGTAGCGCAGCAGAAAACAAGGATATGAGAAAAAAATTGTATAAAATATTCTTTGCAGATTCAGTCGCTCCGTCTCTCTACCTCCAGAAGGAAGTATTTGAAAGTATACAAAGAATGAAAGTGCATCTCTGCAGGGAACAGGATCACATTGCGCACGCGCTGCGAAGTCATTTCTCTATCTACCGCCCGCTCCCACTCCCTTAACACCTCGTTGAGAATGACACTGTCGTTGGGGACGCTGTCGCAAAAACGAAAACCGTTTAGGAGAGGCCCTGTGCAAATGAAGTTGTTCTTTAGGTTATAGGAGTTACGAAATGTGTTTGCTACAATGCAGCTTTCGTCAATTGGCCATAATCGTATAACAAATTCCAATCGATTCTGCGACTTCGAGTGCATGGCCTATACCCAGGCAAAATCGAATGGTGACACCTGCAACTTTTATTACTGCTTATGTGGGAAGAATGTATTGTATGTATTGTATTCCAGACACATTTCGGGAGTAGCCAACGAATTACACTTGCAATTATGAAGAAGGGCGCGGCTTTTTGAGCGGCCGAGAATCAGCCTTAATAGATCCTCGACGCAAATATCTCCCTCAACTGAAGGAAGTAGAAGAAACCTAAACATACTGTTAGAAAGGGCAAACATTCCGCTCCCCAAAACTGTCTTCAATTCGCGCAGAAGTTGAGATGTACGGCTTTGCAAGAACCTCGGCATAATATTATATACTGGTTTTTTTTTGTTACGACGCCCCGCCGAAACGTAAGCTGATAAGGTCTGCTCAACAACCTCGTGTGGACTTACAGAAGACATCAGCCATCATTGTCTTCACTTTTTCAAAATCCTACTAAATTAGAAAGATATTGCTTTTTAAGTGGCAAAAACTCGCACGAAAAATTCGGCATCCTCGACGCTGCCTCGACAAAATTTGAGAGACCCTATCTTTTCGAGTGTAAAGAATGTAGATCAATTCTAACACATTGCGTACCGCGAACTATTTCGCACGAAACAGCACAGTTTTACCTGATTTATTTGACATTTTTCAATGCTCCTGAACTGTTTGCACACATTTTCAGAGTCGGGGATCCATTCGTGTCACCACTGATAAAATTGTTGATAGATTGATAATGATACATTTGAAAAATATAAAAAAGATACGAAGGCACTCGAGCAAAGGCGGTCCGCAATGTGTTAATATTGTCCGGTAGTACTAAATCCAGCTCTATATAGCCCTACCACACACTGCTCCAAAGGTTGTGAAATGGGGGAATGGAACATTTTCACCGAGAGTGTAGATTTCGATGGTTTCGAGCGAGGTTTCGGCGAATCTGACCTACGGACAAACTGCGCTGCAACTGAATGTTTCGCTGTACATTAACGGAACTCGCTTATCCATATCAAATCAGAGTTAGAGGGGTCGTATCAAGACCCCGATGTGAGGGGGGTCGTACTAGGTGACCACGTCTTCGACACGATTTTCACCCTGGTCTGGATAGAATATCGATCATTTGCTAGGGCGATTTTCATGCGACAAGGAAACTGCACTGAGCCCTCTCCAAAGACTTGTACAGATCTGAAAATATAGGTAGGATCCCACATGTCTTGACACCGAATCAGCTCCGAACACGATCTGACATCGACATGTTCAAGTCGACTTGCTATGAATTCTTCGATTGACACTCCATCACATGTCGAAGATGAGGAGATGGTACATTGTGCTAACAAATAAGCTAGCGGCGATAGTCCAGCTCGAACGCTTTGGGAGTTCCTGCTGCTAAAGTTGAACCTCGCGCAAGTAGGGCCTTCTCGAATTTTTGGTGGAAAACGAGAGGAGTTGAGCTCTGGAAACCCCTAGTGTAGATGTCTGAGTCAGCGCGTAAGTCAGCCGTCCACAACTAAACTGCATCGCTTATAATACGAACGTGAAGTACGACAAAGTAACCATTTTTATGACACCACTGAACCACCTCTTGCTAAGGAAATACGGGAGAATTTTGGGACTCCCAGAAGGAAACTTCTTTCGTATCCGCTTTATAGATTTGACATTGGGCCAAAAGATGCCCACCTGGTTCCCTCTCCAGATCACCTCTTCAAGAACAAATCCCACCCTAACCATTATGATGTCAAAACCGACATCAGATCTTTCTTCGATCAGATTTCAGTGGAGTTTTACAAGAAAGCCGTCGAACACTTTCTACTGCGTTGGTAATAGGTCGTAGATATTGATGGTGTACATTATGCTGGATGAATGGAGCACAAAGATCTATCAAGTCGCGTATGAAGATTCTAAACTCAGCGACTCAATAGATGCAGCCCGACGAGTTTTCCAGAACGTTCATAGTAAATGTCAGAGAAATGAAAAAAGAATTTTTGTGAAAAATTACAGCAGAGAACGGGTTGATTCCCTCTGAAAATATTATTAACCGTGAAAGTTCAGAATCCCTTTTCATGCCCTGACCTTTTCCTTCATTCAGCAAGGAAAGAGAAAGCGCTCTGGCAAAGAAAGACGTTAAGAGAAAAAAGGAAAGAAGTAAAAAAAAACTGTTTCCTCAATTAACTTCCTCAGACGTGGCAACACTTTCTTAGAAAATCGACTCAGTTTTCGCCATTATTCCCTTTCACAAAAGATATCACACCCACTTTCATACTTGGATTATTATCAACGTTCTGAAAACGCGTTATGCTGCATCCATTGAGATAATGACTGTTAGAGGAGGTGATTTCTCACCGAACCTAACAGAACTGCATTATTCTTTTATTGGGTGAGAAAGAAAGTCCTACAACGCTTTTTCAAACTTTTGCTTTTAATTTTATCTTTTCTGTTTACAACTCCTGACCTACCATGAGCGTCTACCACTTGTCTTCACCGTTAAGAAAATTTCTTGATGCTGCTTTGCCAAAACCCAGCGGAGTGCGGATCGAGAAAGGAGGCGACCTCACTTTTGGAGTTGGTAGTCTAATTATTTTGTCATCAAGATGATGGTTTAAGGTCCAGGATAGGTGGCAGTTATTTATACCTTCACCAGGGAAACACGCTAAGAGAGGTCAGAAATCTTGCCGCGGCCCCAGAATTTCCTACCGGGCTCATTTCGGATCATGGTGATTCGCAATGCCGTGAAAGACATGAATATTGTCGCGGTACGAGGGCTCCTGACAGCTGCTTTGGCCAGCTTCTGGAGTTCCGTAGCCTAGACCTCTAGCTACACAATGGTGCCCATAAAGAAGAATCTGTAGCTGAGTTTCCGTGAGAGCCCTATCTGCAATGGAGTGTGCGGGGTGCTGCTGGCTTCTTATAAAAATATCAAAAGATCGAAAACTGGTAAAGGTGAAACACGGTGTAGCGGTGAACGGAATGCCTATTGAAGCCATTATAGATAGTGTTGGCCACACGAATCCATAGCTATGGAGACATTTGTACTAGACAGTGACACGGGGTATGGATTTACTAGTGGTCAAGGTTTTTTGAATTTTCTCGGCTACTGACTGCAGCACTTCTATCCACCTCGTGGACTGAAGCCTCTAGAATGCTTTACCACTTGTAAGTCATAAATACTACCTATGAAAATTTTCTAAAAAAACAACTGCCTATGAATTTTCAGAAAAAAAGAGAATTTTAGAAAGAAGAGTGTTGCGGAACTTTCTTTCCAACCTAGTGTGATACGGCACTTATCTCGGTCAGATAGAATCAGGAGACCTTACAGTATCATATTCTGCGGGATCCTGGAAACAATTATTCATAATGAAGTGCCCCGACCAAATTCTAGCGTTACCTGACACTTCAACAATTGTCGCCCACACTTTGCTAGGATTAACCCTTTATAGGGACCTGATCGAGGTTTTGCTTCTGCCATCACTCAATAATTGCAAAGGGAATAATGGTTGCAAAATTTCGTCAGGTAAGAATAAAATGCAGCGAAAACACATGTGGCGAAGGATGATTTATAATTGTATGTAAATGCATTATACATATTTCCACTCTAGAGTCTTTTCCAAAGATGTCTTTAGATCTGTGGATGAAGTTGGTGTTTATGGAAAATTTCTAGATGGAATTATCAATATGCGGAGCAGTGCACACATTCTAGCATTGAACACTTTCGAGAAAATTAATCCTTCATTGTTGGCCCAAATAAGTTCCCAATAAAAAATTCAGCAAAAGCTATAGTACTCTCAAAAAAGCAAATGGCTAATAGACATAAAATGCAATTACGAAGAAAGAAGGCGATGGGTTTGTAGCTATGAATCACAATACCGACTCATACAGAGTTTTGCTTTGTAAAAAAAGGATATCCTGTCCACTGTATGTGGGTCCAAATCTGATAACTAAAACGCGGGCGCCGAGCCCTCCACAAGTCCCTGAATAAATCGACAGCAACTCACGCGCTCTTAAGTGCACACGAACAAGCAGAAACGGATCACGGACTAAATGATACGCGTGTTAGCAGCCGTTCAGTTTTGTCGGTTGATCGTAAGGACGAAACCCTAGCCATCAATTCATTCAACGAGCGGGAGCAAGGGGAAATATGAGGGACAACAGGTTTTCTGAGCTGAAATAGCTTACTGGAAATATACTGCTATCGAATCGAAAAAATCGCAATTACAAAATATTGTAAAGAACAATAATGTCAAAAGCAGATCGGTCATTCAGATCTATTCTACCCTTAAACTATGAACTTTTGCGCTGTATCAATCCGAATCAAAAACAAATGTGCGGTGGACCAAAGGGAAGGCTGCTTGAACAATTGATGTTGATATCAAAGTACTCACTGCTATTCAAAATGAAGTACTCCAGTCTCACTACTTATAGAAAAGGTTTGTTTGAGCCATTTTATTTACAAAAAGGATACTTTGTAATGCAGTTTTCACATGCTGAACTGAAAATACTAGTCACCTGGCTTGACTCTTTGTAGAAAAAACGGACCATTTGTACCGAAACATATGCCGGTAGTCGATCAATTAGCACCTAAATTACTGAACATTTGAAAAAAAACCGCAAATAACGAGGTGATTATTTGATTGCTATCATGAGCATCAGATAATCCTACTTACTATAAAGCGCTTCGTCCGCTCTGTATGTCTGTCACGAAATTCCCTAGCTCCTCGGGATCCGCCTGGAGGGACCGGGGCAAGTGTGGGATGGGTGGGCAGGGTCTCACGTAATACAAAACACACATCAGCTAAGCGGAGCCCCGCCCACAGAGGGCGTGGCGTGCGGTGGTGGAGGAGTGGAGGTCACCTTTCATCGGTAGGCGGAGCTTGACCAAAGAGGCCGGGTTTGCGACGAAAATCCATAACTCGGCTCCAACAAGCCGCGGAGGCCGGAAAAAATGCATAGAGGTGGGTGGAGGAGTGGAGGTCACCTGTCATCGGTGGGCGGGGCTTGACCAAAGTGGGCGGAGTTTACGACGAAAATTCATAACTCGGCTGCAAGAAGTCCTAGAGATAGGGAAAACGGGGTTAGAGGTTGGCGAGGGAAAAGAGATCAGCTGCTTCCAAGAAGTCTCGGAGACCGGTGAAAAAAAGGGTAGAGGTCGGCGAAAGGAAGGGGGCCAAATGATATTGGTGGGCGGAGCATGCACTGAAGTAGGCGGAGTTTGCCACGAGATTTATTGTCCGGAAACAGTCCGGAGACCGGGAAAAAGAGAATAATGGTCGATGAAGAAAAAGAGGTTGAAAGCCGTCGATGATGGAGCGGATAGAATTTAGCTGAAAATTCAGATATTCGTGGTGTATCAAGCCAAATTCGAAAATTTTCCTCGCACCATCAAAATTCGCCGCAGATCTGTGTTGCGCGCGCAATGCGTGCGGCGCCAACTGGTAGAGCTATTTACTATAAAAACTCAGAAAGAAGAATGTCTTTAAAAATGACCTACATTTCGCTCCCACTTGGCATTTCGTCCGAGCACACCGCTAGTCTTTTCGATTTCTCCGGAAAGCTTTTCTTTTATCCCACTTTGAATATATCTAACTTCAGGCGATAAGAAGCAAGAAAGCTCAAATAAAAATTTTAATTCAAAATCATATGCACCGCAAAAAAACATGAGTTTTTCATGAAAAGTGCTCGTCCTCGGACTCCTACTTCATACCTGATAGAATTCTTCACTAGTAACTTGTTTAGGCTCCTCATCAGCCTCCAGGCACTTTTGAGTTACTTGATATCGTCCGCGGAAAAATTCCCGTATATCTTTCCCAATAGTCTCTGTAAAGTGATAAAATTTCCACTGCTTGGAAGAAAAATGTAGACATCAGGGTCAAGAAATGCGACGAGAAAAACCCTGAACAAAAACTCGTCACTCCCCCCTCCCCCTTTAACGAAATGTGGCTGCTCTGCAACGCACACGCTGATCGTAGGCAGCGGTGTGCACGTTGAAAATTGAAAACATATTCAACTGTCATAACCTTTTTTGAACGACCTTAACCTTTTGAACGAATTTCTAAGCCAAACAATTTGGAAGTTTCTCGACGAGTGATTTCTAGAATGCCGAATTTGAAGAAAATAACGATGAAAATACCGTTCTCGAGTATTACGAGGAAAATTGCAAGAGCGACAGACATTTGAGAAGTCATAGGATCCTTCAAATGCAATAATTCAGCAAGTTTCACTTCGCAAGACCTGCTCCATTCAACGATTTATGATTGCTTGATTCGTTCAGTAGCCAAATGACTCAGTTCAGAATCTTCACAAAAATAACGGGGAAAATTTCTCAGATGTGCAAGTTTTTAATCTCAAACCCATAACGTCCTCCGATAGTACCGAGTAAGGTAAATCAGATAAGATCAGCTGGTTACTTGTTAGGCTTTTCTCTTTACTAATAATCATGCTCCTCATATATTTCCGACACAAACGGCTTCATAACTTCGTTACCCATGTCATACAGGGGGGACCAAAAAAAAGACATTTTGCCTATGTCGGACTTCGGCTCTTTTTTCTTCGCAGAGATTTACTGTCGTTGACGGAGTTCCTCAGCAGAGTATTTCCCTGAGTGTTCCTCTGTTAGTGTACGCAGGCCTCTCTTCACTGCTCACCGTCTATTATGACGTCATTGTCACGTCGTCAGGCTCAAGGAGGTCTACCGTAAGAGCTTCAGCCTGAAGCTCTTACGCAAATTTCGTGAATCGATTTAATGTTGGATAGTTTTTCTAGAGGCATTAGCTACCACTGTGCAAATCCCCTCGGAACTAGCTTTCAGTAAGGGTCGTTATGGTACACGATCCTTCAAGACCCCATTGAGATCGACCAGGTGCACCATGTTTCCAGGGCTAATTCTTCTGATGCCGTCCACGTACGTGACCACTATGAAGATTTTCTTATAGAATGAGATGCCACTCTTTAATCTAATATATTAAGTGTAGTTGAAACCAGGATCTCCTTGTCTAGTGAGTTCTCGACAGTACGTTGAGACATGTTTGCGGTCTAAATTCAGCTCTGCCGGAAGTGAAGAAGATTCAGAACCTCGTTATCTTTTGTGTATTTGGGGCCTTCGCCCCCCCTTGTATATCAAATAATGCCAGCTATGCAAGTTGTGATGCAATTTTCGTTCACATCGACATCAACACAAAGGATACCGTTGAGGCTCTTCTAGCTATGCGGAAGGAATACAAGAGAGAAGTTTCCACATTTGGCCTAGAGGAACAGGATCTTCGGGAGTTACATATGACGACTTTAGAATAAAATATTTTCTACTTTGATGAAAATTGTACAAACTACACCTAGGACTAGCCACGGAGCAATGAATAGCACTGGCAATAATCTACTTGGATCGTTCGAAACGTAGATCTCTGACAGCTCAAACAGTATTATACGCTGTACACTGATGATGTGGTCATTGGCCCTTCCACGAAACATTCAAAAGACACGCTTTCCTCAATACCAAGGAAACAAGGAACTTTGATGAAATTAGGAACCTGCATCGAGGAATTTACTTTCACATGTTAGAAGTTGCCATACATCTACATGAAGGTTAGCTTCGTCCGCAACCTTCAACCAATGATAAAGTATGCAGTCAACATTCAAGTGAAATAGATGAAATGGTGAAATGTATATTGAAAGAAAAGGGATATTCGACTTGAAATTTGCAGTCATGAAGACCGTACTCCACACCTGATGAGATCCCCATGATAATACCGTCAAACAAAAAAATGACAAGCAAGGTAAACAATGTGGTAAGGTCAACGATGTCGTAAGGAATTCCTCGCACCCATTACAACCTATATTCCGCCCACGCCAAAGTTGAAGCCACTGCTTACATATCCGGGCCTTACGAGGACATGTGGTAGGGATGGCTGCACTTACTGTAAGGAAGACGAAATATGCCAACTGAGAGGTATAGTTTATGCAATAGAATGTCAAGGATATGGGCATAAATATATTGGAGGAACAAGAAGACCTCTCACAAGCGACCGGACGAACATCGGAGGGCTCTACAAAACTCGGCTTCATATCCAGGTAACAGCTTCTCCAAACATAAAACCCAAAAACATGCTCGCGGGAACCCACCCCTAGCGTCAAATTCCCACACCGTACCATGGAAAACACAGTGGAGCATCCTAGAGGCAATGGAAATAAAAAGACTAGCCCAGGAATAAAAAGCAGCGACAAGTTACGTGACTCTCCTCACCTCATCGCATGACTACAGTTATCATCGTTATGGAATGAATGCGATATTTTGCAAAACAGCGATCGTAGCACGTCCAAGCTATTTGAAGGAAGCGACCACAATAGCTTCCACGTGAATCTGCCATCCTCGCGTTATCAACAGATGGGGTGTGAGATAGATAAGTGTTGGACGAGTGTAAGCCCATGGAAGATATGATCCGATGAGATAAGAAGGTACAGTTGCTGGATAAGAGATGCACTAGAGAATGAAAACGGGACGGTAACGAAGATGGTATCATGCCACCGCAACCCTCTCAACATCGATACGGAGGTGATTTTGCTACCCAAGAATGGGTTTCGGCGGCATATGCTGCTGGTAAGGCACCACTGCCACTGAAACATCACCTGTTGCCTCGTTGAGCAGGACCCTTACCCCATTTAGTACATCGCTTCCCTTATCGTCTCCATAGAAATTATCCTGACCACTTCATTCGAGGGTGACACCAGAGTAGGAAACAGTTCCTGCTTCACAGACCAACAAGGTGGTAAGTGCTAACTTTGTAAGTGAGCAGCAGGTGAATCGGTTGATGTAGCCTACTATTCCTATAATTATAGTATGTAAGATTGGTGACTCTTTTCAGGAAATTTTATTCAATTTTTTCATTCTATTCGTAGTGCTTGCTCATCCAAATATACACCCTTGTCATCTACAAAGTATTGCCTATGCTAAGGAATGCGGTCGCTGTCTTTCTGCTAAAATTGCAGGACCTTGGACACCTTTTTAAGCTGTCTTTCATGAGGGCAGATTTCCCGGCTCGTTGGAGATGTTCCTTTTTTGCATAGTCGTAGTTATCAGATGCGTGTTGGCAAGGAATTTCCAAGTCATTTATGGTTCAGGTGGTGTACCCCTTGAAAATTTACAAGATCGAGATGATGTTCAAACCACGATTAGTGCTATCGAATGCTGGTCCTCCGAATGTGGTTTGCCGCTATCTGGCGACAAAACGAAAATCCTGTCCGTTAGAGAGTGCAAAGGTATGTACAAATTGAACGCGAAGGAATTGGAAGTTTTTACTGATGTACGTGACCTTGGCTCCAGTTTCAACAATAAGCTTTCTTTTAAAAAGCATATAGAGAAATCATGTAAGACTATGTATAGGATTTAGAATCTATTCAGGGCTATTCACTCCAAGTATGCAAAAACGCTACACAGTCTTACAAAACGTATGCCAGGCCCATTCTTGAGTCGGGGACAACAGTCTTCTCTCCCCTCAAGAAAAAGGATATTTGTCTTCCAGAGAGTGCCAGACTTGCTATGCGCTGTTCCGGCTTACAATTAGGCTATGAGTTTACTCTTGATAGGATTCAACGTCGATGTATTTTTCTCTGTCAAATCTCTCCGCTCAGAGAAAGGTAAACGACACAGTGATGGCTTACAGAATACTGAGCGGGAAAGTTGCGCTAGACGCCTACAGCTTCTTTAGTAAAATCGCATCTAAAACTAGAGGGAGTGCTTTTGGAAGCAAGATTCCGGTGGTAAGAAGCCAGGTTCGCTACAATATTTTTCTATCAGGATTATATCCTTTCTTAATAAAATTATTTGCGAAGGCAACTTGCACTCCTCTCTGAACTCATTGAATTTGGCCAAAAATGTTTCTAGAGGATTGTTGCGCTCCTCCGAATTGATTTCAGTCATCGCATTCAATCCTTATTTTCTTTGTCAATTAATGAGTGAATGACCTTTTGAACGAAGGAAAATCGGCAGTCGGGTTTGAGGTCATGTCACTTAGCATAGAATTTCTTCCTGAGGAAGAGCGCTGAAGCTTAAAGTGGATTTTCTTGTTGGCACAGCACAGGGTCACACGGCGGAGAAAGGACTGAAAAAAGGTGAAAGAACTGGTAACCTGAGAGTCTCCAACTTTTTGTGAATATCTTCCGCAAGGTGGGGTCGATCGACCTCAGAAGTAATGCAGACTTTGCCTTGCTTTTACAAATTGTACGCGTCGCAAGTAGGATGTCGACGTTTGCCTTCTTCATGATCCCAGTATTACTGGGTGACGGTACACAACATAAGGTCATATCGTGTTCCACCGACATCTTGGAAAAGTAGGACTTAGAGGAGGTTGGGCTTTCCTTGTCAAAACTCCCGAATCGTTTAATCTAGGCTACTGTTCCTTGTGGATTTGCTGGCACGCTCTACCCATTCCAAAACACTGAATATGCAAGGAACTCCAAGAAAAAGAAAGAACATAACGACTATAGATCGATTTCGAGCTGATTCGTGCTCATAGCATGCGTGATGAAGACTCCTTATTTCCAAACCAGTTAAGCTGCGCACGATACCGCGCGCGAAACACAACTGAACAGGATGGACTCTCTTGACAGGGTTGACGTACGTTTCGCAGTTCTCAATTAGGAGAGTGGCATTTGGGTTGTTTGGGAGGGGCCCCGTTTGGGTTTGGTGAAGGGTAAAAGTACGGGAAGGGAGACGGAGTTGTTCCAATGTATTTTAGGGTGAAGGACTTAATGAGGGAAGTAGAGAAGTTCCCATTTCAGCCGGGACATATACCCCCCGTAGCGGCGACATACACACAAACACACCA